AACAGTCAGTTTAGAACCTAACCACTCAGGCAGAGTTATAAAACAGTCAGTTTAGAACCTAACCACTCAGGCAGAAACCTTACCCACTCAGGCAGAGTCATAAAACAGTCAGTTTAGAACCTAACCACTCAGGCAGAAACCTTACCCACTCAGGTAGGGTCATAAAACAGTCAGTTTAGAACCTAACCACTCAGGCAGAATTAAAACAGTCAATTTAGAACCTAATCCAGTCAGGCGGAAACCTAACCCAATCAGATAAGTAGTGTCTGGAGTATAAATATCAAAATACTAGTATATCATTGAATAAACAACTGGTTCTTTATATGCAACAATTGGTCTTGTTAAAGCTGAACACAACTCTTAAATAGGCTGAATTAAGCCATATTATTTTTCTTGTTTCCTATGTCAGCACTGGAACCCACACCTGACTAATTTAACCTGGTCACTGTTGGGTGTAGTGCATGTATTTTTTGTTTACATTTTGTTTTATTGAGGGTGCATTTATGTTTATTTTACTTTGTAATGCATTGACCAGTGCAACTGACATCGAATATCTTTGGTAATTATTTTTCTTGAAGTGGCAGAGGCACACAGATGTCATTTCTGTTGTGCCCAAGTCCATCATAATGACATGAAAGAGATGTCTGTTCAGGTAAACTCTGTAAAGCTAAATACATTGAACATGTTTTCTGTGCTTTCTACATCTTTATTCTTAAATTCTCCCATATCATTCTTGAGGTGTTGATTTCTCAAAGTTCAATTTTCACCATTTAAGGATAGTGCAATTATAGACTTACTCTGTTGTCCAATCCACTCAGTATATTTGTATTTTATATTTCACTTTATAATCACAATTCGTGTGTATAAAAAGGAAGTTTTTTTTTTTTTTTTAAATCACCACCTTTTTCTTTAATTTGAACTGAAAATGAACACAAGAAAATCTACAGAAGTTCATAACTTTATTGCTTTCAATCCGTTTTGTATTCTCTGTGTACATTACTACATCATTCATCAAGTGAATGATAAAGGCCTAAAACAATGAAATTACAGTCAAACTTTGATACCTCGGACTCAACGGAACTGAGAAGAAACTTGGAGGAATTGAGAGACCAATGATGAAATATAAATACAAAAAAGTGACTGAAACTTCCAAATCACTTTGAATTATCCATGGTATTTGAGATATCAGTGTTCAAAATACTGAAGTTCAACTGTACTTAGAGTTCCCTTAATCCCCCAGTCAGGTTCTTAATGAAGCAAAATACAATCTAACAAACATGTAGTAATGTGACTGAGGTTACACCAAATTCTTCAAATAATAAACAACATAATGTTATACAGTTATGGAATGGGTATGAGGGAAATAGCAAATTTATGGTTCCCCAAGGGAGGAAACTTTTTCCCGAGGCAGCGAAGCCGCTGAGGGAAACAGTTTCCTACCGAGGGGAACCATAAATTTGATATTTCCCAAGTACCCATTCCATAACTGTTTTATTATACAGAAACAATCATGGGAGATTTATTAAACTAGAGACTCAGACATTTTTAAAAACAATACAGAGGTATTTAAATAATCACAATTGCATATGATCAAAAATATTGTAAGATAACTAATACATCAATACCGAGGAAAATAGAATTATTTAAAAAAATATAAAATAATTTCACTGACACTTCAAAGGATTATTGTTGCCTTCATTTTGCTAGAATATTTCAGTATGATTTTGACATCACATGTCGAAATGTTTTGACGTCATACTTACATTGCTAATAACATTACGTCACAGACTCGAGATTCCTTGAATGCTCCACCCACTGTTCATTTTAATTGGTTAAAATTATTAATATTCATGAGGGAGTAGTCCCCGGGAGTAGCTCCGATTTTTCAGGGAGTAGTCCTCAGATGAGGGAAATAGTATCTTCTCAGGGAAATAGACAGTTTTATGGTATTAATTTTATATAGAGTAATAACAGTAGAGGTATAATAATAAAATCTACAGTACAATGTTCTCTGTGTACACTTCTAGATCTTTCATTAGAATGGATTACATAGGCCTAAAATCAGTAGAATTTCGTGTTAAATGCTTCAGCCAATTTCCTTGAACAAAGTTGCCCATGTGGCACAGTAGTAAGAGTGTCCGCTCTAGAGTCACAAAGTAAGGAGTTGATCCTTACGTCATGGGTTCGAATCCCACTGTGGGACGTGGATACCAGTCCTTCGGATGAGACTGTATAAACCAAGGTCCTGTGATACAGTAGGTGCTGACACAAAAAAGATCCCTCACTGCTCAATGGCCCCGAGTGCCGAGTATAGGTCAAAATTTGCAGCTCTCCACCAGCAGGTGGTGGCGTCTCCATATCAGTGAAAAATTCTCAAGCGGGACGTTAAACAACAAACAAACGAAGTCTTTATGTACATGAAAATAATTAAATTATGAAAACAGAGCTTCTAACAAAATCTTCTATGAAATATACATGATGTAATACAAGAATTATATCTACAATACAACACACATGCACACATACATCTTTAACAATGATATGCTATACTATATAGTGTTCAGTTTGTTTTACGATGTAAAGCTAATCTCAGCATCTTCTTAAAAATTATTGACAGGCTGGTTTCTTTCAAGCACTGGCACCAAGTGAAAAGAAGACGTTCACAGTAGGATTTAAACATTAATTAGCCCCCAAAAATGCAGATCAATAAGAGACAAGTATAAATCTAGTACAATAATACTGATTGTGCATCATAAAATGATATACATGTCACTGACATTGAAGAACAATAAATTGCATAAACACAATGAAAGTGCTGAAATTTTTAACTACATTTGATTTACAACGAGTTGGCAATAAATAAACAAAACATTTCACTAAAACATAAAGTCTCAATCGACTTACGGACCAGAGTTTTTTTTACACTACAATGATTATAAATATAGACTGGTGACTAGAAACCAAAATGTCTTAGATTTATACATAAGACTTATACATAGAATAGTGTAGCTAATCTTTCTGATCAAATTCTACAGCTGCATGCAGAGAATATGACAGATGATTTGGTGACAATAATTGACCTGCATGCCAACACTTTCACTGAAAGGGAGTGAATATTCCCTCGTAAGTGCAAACATGCTATATGTACATTTGCAATGCAACTGATTTGTTGTTTGTGATCTTAGTTAATCATACTTATAAGTTAAATTATAGACATTTCTATTTTAAAACATCTTTTATTCCTGTCCTCATATGTCAGGCCAGTACTGTGGCAAACTAAATTTGTAACAGCTTCCTTTAGTATCACAAATGGAAGGCATTTGTGTCTCATTCTGAAAAAAAAGGAAAAATTTCAATATAATAATATTCTATATATATATATATATATATATATATATATATATATATATATATATATACATATATATATATATATATATATATATATATATATATATATATTAGGGATGTCAACGAGTACCCCGTTAACTGGGTACTCGATCGAACGTCCGAATATCGAATACTAAAAATGGTACTCGGTTACTCGGATATGTATTTTTTCTTATTTCAATGGACATATTTTTTCAAAAACTTATCAAAAAATAACTTAAATATGCATATGGGTAATTAGCGTGTCATCATCTACACATGTAAACACCCAATATAGCCAATGGCTGTGTATATACAGTAATTAGTGACCAATCACCTGGTACACAGCTGTTCTCACTTATTGTGGTCCTTAATTTTTTTATGGCTTCCATGATTGTTTTTCAGTGAACATTGTTTAATATGGTCTATTATCTTCAAATCATTTTTACATAATTTAGTTAATATACGGCAGCGAAATCGGACATGCATAGAAATGCCCCTACCCACTTCAAAATAAGTAAAGATTTAAAAAAATGTTTAAAGTCAGTTTCCATAGCAAGTTTAGTGTATACAGGGGAAACAACCAACATATGAAAAAATATTAGACTAGCGATCCAAACAACATCCGTTCCTTCTCTTTCGCTAGTCTAATCATCACAAATCTGCATAACAGATTGTCCTCCTTTTGCATTGATGAAACAGATCCTAAACAAGAACTGTAAACTATCTGTAATTTTGATGTATTAATTGCGTCATTTGTGTTAATTTAATAAATAAATTTAGTACCAAAAATCATTTCTGTTGGACTTCATGTCTCCATGTTTACATACATTCATAAAAAGCGATAAAAACAGCTTTGGGGTCTAACAAATTAACAATTAAAAATTAACAAACTTGTATTTACGTTCATATATATATATATATATTTGTGTCTGCTTTCCTTTGATACCAAATACAAGAGACCCATGGGCCACATTGCTCATCTGAGCACATTGGCTAAGAAAAAGCACAAATCAGTTCAGTATTGAATAGTATTTGATTCCCCATTATTGCCCAACCCTGGCCTAACCCCTGGGATTATCATTTGAACAAACTTGAATCTACACTACCTGAGGATGCTTCCAAATCAATATGACTAATAATGGCTTTAATGTTCTTGAAAAGAATACCGGTTATTTTTAAAGATTCATTCTACCCCCGGGGATTATCATTTGAACAAACTTGAATATAAACTATGTAAAGAAAGTTTCCTGTAAGTTTGAACTTTTTTGGTCAAGTGGTTCTTGAGAAGAAGAATTTTAAAGATGCCACCACATTTTCACTTTTTCTGAAATATCTTCCCTTGAAACAGGACATGGCCCTTCATTTGATCAAACTTGAATCCCCTTTACCTTAGGATGCTTAATGGCAAGTTTGGTTGAAATTGGCCCAATAGTTCTGGAAGAGAAGTCGAAAACGTGAAAAGTTTACAGACAGAAGACAGACAGACTACAGATAAAATGTGATCGGAAAAGCTCACTTGAGCTTTCAGGTCAGGTGAGCTAAGATGTAAGGAAAAGTCCTGAACTTCTATAATTTTCTTGGATGTTCTTAAATAGAACAGGACAGGACATCTACTGCATAAATGTATCAGAAGGAATAAACTTCCAAACTTACCAAGAAAAATCAATCAAGATCCTCTCCAGTTCTTCATTTTCATAGTTAAAAAGAACTCTGCTCCAAAAACTTTAACCTGGGACACCAACACCAATGCTGAGGGTATCACATAAGGTTCCCCAATTTCGTTGAGTTGAGCTAAAAACTAAGAAATGACTTTTTGTATTATATTCTATGGCATTTCTTGTATAAGTATCTCATTCATTTTCAATTACATCATTTACAATGATATATTATCACAGGTGAATAGCAGAGGGGAATAATTTCTCTCAGTAGAATATAAATTAATGAAGCCCAGTTCAAGCCCTGCCCCAAACCCGGACACTTGACCAAGTGTTCCAAAATTTAAAACATTTGTTAAAAATGCCCTTGCTCAACACAATTTTGTACTCTTTTTGTCTCCTAGTTGCCCAGGAGCATAGATGAAGATTTTCAAAGAAATAACGATGTTCAGATTCCACACAGCCCCACATAAACACCAAAAGACCTGACTCAGGGGGCTATTATTTTCATAACTTTAAAAGAGGTATCCTTGCTCATCATAACCATACCATTCATTTGTCTGCTTAATACCACTAGGTAAAGAAGAAGATATTTAGAAAATTTATGCATTTCACTATCTTATCTAAAGAACACCTAAACACTCTGACCTAGATTGGGCCATGAAATTCACCATTTTGAAAGAGGCACCTTTGCTCATCATAACTATGCTTTTATTTTTGGTTAGCTCAATATCCAGGTGCAGAAATGAAAATTTCCAAAGATATATTGCATATATATATACTTTAATAGGTCCCCAAAACACCAGAACCATTGACCTTGGAGCACCACATTTAACAATTTTAAAAGAAGTTTCTTGCTCATCAAGCACTAAATTCATGTGCTAAATACCCAGTAAAACCTCACCCTGACACCAGAACCCCTGACTTTGGAGCCACTTATACTTAGATTTCTGCTTAATACCCAGGAGCAAAGAAGATTTTCAAAGACAAGAGGCCCATGGGCCACATCGCTCACCTGAGCACATTGGCTAGGAAAAAAAAGCAAAAATCAGTACAGTATTGAAAAGTTTACAGGGAGGGGGTGTTGAATTTTGAACTACCTGATGATGCTTTCATATCAATATAACAAATGGCTTTGTTGTTCTTGAGCAGCAGATTTTTTCCCCATATATTCATTTGTAAAAATTTGATCCCCCATTATGGCCCCACCCTACCCCCGGGGGCCCTCATTTGAACAAATTTCATTCTACACTACCCAAAGATGCCTCCATATCAATTTGACTAATCATGGCTTTTCTGTTCTTGAGAAAAAGACTTTTTCCTATATATTCCTCTGTAAACTTTGATCACCCATTGTGGCCCAAACCTATCCCCGGGGTAATGATTTGAACAAACTTGAATCTTCACTATCTGAGGATGCTTCCATATAAATATGACCAATCATGGCTTTACTGTTTTTAAGAAGAAGATTTTTAGAGATATTTTTCTATATATTTCTATGTAAAACTTGGATCCCCCATTGTGGCCCCACCCTACCCCCGGGGGTCATGATTTGAACAAACTTGAATCTACACTACCTGAGGATGCTTCCATATAAATATGACCAATCATGCCTTTGCTGTTCTTAAGAATAAGATTTTTAAAGATATTTTCCTATATATATCTATGTAAAACTTTGATCCCTCATTGTGGCCCCACCCTACCCCCGGGGGTCATGATTTGAACAATTTGAAATCTACACTACCCCAGGATGCTTCCACATAAGTTTCAGCTTTTCTGGCCCAGTGGTTCTTGAGAAGAAGATTTTTAAAGATTTTTCCTATATATTTCTATGTAAAACATTGATTCCACATTGTGGCCCCGCCCTACCCCCGGGGGTCATGATTTGAACAATTTAGAATCTACACTACCCCAGGATGCTTCCATATAAGTTTCAGCTTTACTGGCCCTGTGGTTCTTGAGAAGAAGATTTTTTAATGACCCCACCCTATTTTTGTCTTCTCTTGATTATCTCCCCTTGTGAGGGGACTTGGCCCTTCATTTTAAGAATTTAAATTCCCCTTTACCCAAGGATGCTTTGTACCAAGTTTGGTCAAAATTGGCCCAGTGGTTCTTGAGAAGAAGTCAAAAATGTGAAAAGTTTACAGACGGACGGACAGACAGACAGACGGACAGACAGATGGACGGACGGACGACGGACAAAATGTGATCAGAAAAGCTCACTTGAGCCTTCTGCTCAGGTGAGCTAAAAAACATACCGGCACACAAGCATCAATAAAGCCCCACCCTAACACCAGATCCCCAGGGCCTGGGGCCAAAAATTTTACAATTTATGTAGAGGTGCCCTTGCTTATTAGAACCATGCACCTAGTTTACCTGATAAGTTATACAGAGAGGAGAAGGTTTTTAAAAAGAATTTATCCATTTTCATTATATGATCATTAGAGCTCTGCCCTAACTCCAGAATCCCTAACCCTCCTTCATGAATTTCAAAGTTTTGGTAAGGGCTCAGTGCTTATTACAATCATGCCAACAGTTTGACTGCTAGATGTCCAGGAGTTATGATGAAGATTTTGAAAGATTGCACTAATTTTGATGGTTTAAACTCCACCCCTCAGTCCCCAGGGGGAGGGGGGGAGTGACCATGAAATTCAAAATTTTTGTACCCCTTCACTTATTAATGCTATTCCAAAATTAGTTGAAATTGGTTCAAAGGTTCAAGAGAAAAAGCTTAAAAAAAGACCTAAAGTTTATGACCAACAAATGACACACATCCACAGAAAAGTGACTCAGGTGACCTAAAAATATATTTCTTTGTACATAACTTGTCTCCTAATGTGGTCTTATCCTATATGGGGGTCATGATTTGCATAAATTTGAAACTGCACTACTTGAGGATCCTTGCTTATTAGACTTCCTTAACAAAGCCAAGCTGCTCTTTAGAAAAAAAAAGATTTATAAGTATTTTTCCTATATATATGTATTCCTGTGTCAAATCTTTCCTGATCCTAAATTCTGGGACCACAGTTTGAACAAATTTGAATAGATCTACTCTTTTGTCTAATCCTAATATAAACTCCTTTAGTTGCATGATAGGCTTCTTGATTGTAAACATGACCTTTTATGCACTATAGCTACATATAATCAGTACAATATAAAACAAGAGGCCCATGAGCCACAATGCTCATCTGAGGAATACAACCCTTCTTCATCAACAGATTCTTTTTCCTGTACATATTCCTACTTAAAATTTGATATCATATTGTAGCCCCACCCTTTTCCCAAGAGTCATGATTAACAAACTTGAAATTACACACCCGAGGATGCTTCCATGTAATCATGACTAATCATGACTTTGCTTGAGAAGATTTATACAGATTTTTCCTATATATTTGTAGGTAATACTTTCATCCTCTACTGTGTCCCCACCCTACCCCCAGGCATCATGCTTTGAAAAACTTGAATCTAAAAAAGTTGTTGTGGGTGCTTTATTGTCAATATGACTAATCATGCCTTTGCTGTTCTTAATACAAAATAAGATGTTTCCTATGTATTCCCATGTAAAACTCTGATTGCCTGCACTTGCCCCACCATACTCCCAGGGACATGAATTGTATAAAACTTAATTTATTCTATGTCAGGAAGCTTTTACTTGGGTTTCGTATTTTCAAGCCTAGTGGTTCTTAAGAACATTTGAACGATCAAACCAAATTTTTACTGTTTCTTAATTATCTCTGCTGGGAAGAGATGTGGTCCTTCGTCAGAATGAATTTCCTTTACCAAAGCATGCTTTGTACGAAGTTTGTTTGAAATTGACACAGTGGTTCTAGAAAAGAAGGTGAAAATGTGAAAAATTATGAAGGAGATGGACAAATGCACAAATTTTGATCAGAAAGAGCTCACTTGAGCCTCCAGCTGATATGAGTTAATGCTAAATAGAGATGTTAGTGTGAAATAATTAATTCAGGAGGTAATTGAATTAGATCTCTCTTCCTTAAAACTTTTATCATTTTTTGTGGTACCATCCTACCCCAGGAGATCATGAATTGAACAAACTTCAATCTACACTACCTGAGGATGCTTCCCCCACTTCTGCCCCACTCTACACCCCGTGGTCATGATTTGAGCACACTTCAACCTACACAACCTGAGGATAATTCAATATAAATATGACTGATCATTAGTTTGCTGTTCTTGAGAAGATTTTTAAAGATATTTCCTATATATTTCTATTTATAAATTTGATCCCCTGTTGTGGCCCCATGGCTAAGCTGTGCTTAAGATGAATATTCTTTAATGAGTTTTCCTATATATACCTATGTAAAAATTGTTCCCCTGTTGTGACCCCGCCCTGAAAAAAATAAGGCAGAACATTCAAGAACTTAATGAAAATTGTGGACTTCCTGATACCACATCAGAGCGGAAGGACATGCCAGATATAATAATGCCACCTTCAGTGCCATTGGAAAAACCCCATTCCAAGCTGCCACCAATGTGACTTATACCACAAGTGAAAATGTTACTCAGAGGAAAAATGTTGTGGCAGTGTTGTGTGGGAATAAACTATGCAAGAAAGGCAGACACCTGAGAAGCAAAGGAAAGGAAGTTATCTGCCTAAGACACAAAGACTGCACTGCAACCATTCCTCCAGAGGCCACCACTGAAGATGAGAAGAGATGGGCTGCAAAATGGTGAGTTACAAAGTGATGACCGTCCACTAGTCATTTCCCATTTCACCAGTGATGGAGATGGAGCAGCTGCATCTGGTGAATCTGAAAAACAAGGACATGTCATTGAAAACCTTAAAGACTTGCATCATTTCTTTGACTCTCAAAGACAACAGAAGAAATCCAAAACTGCGAAAAATCCAAAACTGTTAAAATGCATGTACAGTATATATCTCAAAGAAAATACTGTAGATCTAAAAGATATCAGCTCTACAATAAAACATAGGTAATCAAAGATTACATAACTCAACTCAATGAATGTTTGTGTAAGGCAAAGTCCAACACTAAACAAATAACCTAGTAGTGTGCATCCCTAGATGCAACATTTATGCAATTTTGTTCTGATAGGGCTTTACAGTTACTTGGGAATGGACTAATCTAAGAACTTTTAACTTGCCAATTATCCAGAAATCCAGCATCTGAAGCAAGTTTGAGAATGTTCATCCCTTGATGCATCATCCTTGCAAGTTCGGCTCAGAAAGGCCTTATAGATTCTTGGTAATGGACCTGAACCAAAAACTTTAACCTGGTCACTCATCTGGAATATGTAGATCAAATCAAGCATCTGAAGCAAGTCCAGTAGTGTGCATCCTTAGATGTATCATCCATGCAAGTCGGGTCAAGGTACAGCAAATAGTTACTTTAGAATGATCCTGCTCCAAAAACTTTAACCTGGTCACCCATCTGGAAAACGTAGGTCAGATCCAGTATCCGAAGCTAGCCTGGTAGTGTGCATCCTTAGATGTATCATCCATGCAAGTCTGGTCAACATGGGTCTATAGTTACTTTAGAATGAACCTGTTCTATAAACTTTAACCTGGTCACTCATCTGGAAAATGTAGGTCAGATCCAGCATCTAAAGAAGGGTGGTAGTTAGCATCCTAAGATGTATCATCCATGCAAGTTTGGTCACGATAGGGCTTATAGTTACTTGGAAATGAGACCTGCCCCAAAAACTTTAACCTGCTCCAAAATCTTCAACCTGCTTTAAAAACATTAACCTGGTCATCTTTTAGCTGAAATTGCAGCATCTGAAACCTTGACTGGTACAAAGACACACTATAAACATCTTCCATGCAACTCTGATTTATGTAAGGCATAGAAGTGCTGAAAAAGAAAACTGCTGCAAAAACTATAACCTGGGACGCCGGAGGTATCACATAAGCTCCCCCAACTTCTTTGAGGTGAGCTAAAAATCTAAAGACACTTACAGTAAATCAGTAACAGATTCAATATTAAAAAGGAAGTTGTGTGAAAAGGGAGGGGGGAGGGAGGGGAGTGGGGGGCATTGATGCTGTGTATTTAATTTAAATGTATGAATTTTGTAATTAATAAATAATTTGTAAATTTATAGACTATATAATAATTGTTGTTATGTTTTATTATGCACTGATTCTATTCAACTGTGTAAATGGGGAAAATGTGGAAATGTAAATGATGTATAATTGTATGAGTAAAATGTGACATTTTCTTATATGAGGGAGTCCATACATGTAAAAATGTTTTAATTTTATCTTATTAAAATTATTTTAATTAATTGTCTTGTTTTTCTTACCTATCTGATGAACACAACAAAGGTTACAGAGGTGATTGGTAGAAATACGGGTGTCTAAACTCTCTGTTGATGACCAGACAGCATACTGCATTGTATATCCGCCATTACTGATCTTAACATGGGAGACAACTCCTGAAATCAGAGAAATTGTAGTCAAAATGAGAGTTACCTGTTACTCTTTAGGTCCGACACAATGAAATAATTTCACTACATGTTACTATATAGCTTCAATTAAATTAATTAATTAACTAAGACTCTAAGCAGATAATCAATGAAAGAGAAAATAAAGATTAATGCTTAAACAAACAAGAGGCCCAAGGGCCTTAACGGTCACCTGAGTACAATACAACAATTTAGAGGATCCATAAACTGATAAATGAAGCTCTGTTGCCCAAAAGCAAGAAAATAGTATGATTTGCATCAACAAAATAATTGGTCTAGTATCTATCTGTCCCCCATTTATCACTATTACCATGCAGAATATCAACAAACTGTCTATTTTTTAACCCCATATTTTTACTTCTCACATTGGCCTCTCTTGGCCTTTGAAGAACAATTAAAAAGGATAAGTTATTTTTGTCTCAATTTTATTCATCTATTATTTCCAAGTCTACCTGGGGCCATGAATTTCACAATTTTGGAAGAGGCATTCTTCCTTATAACCATGCACTTCCTTTGTTTGAAAAATACCTAGGAGTAGAGAAGAAAATTTTGAAAAAATTTATGCATTTTCCCTATATAATCAATAGAGCCCCACCCTTACACTAGAACCCCTGATCCAGGGGCCATGAAATTCACAATTCTGGAAAAGGCAACCATGCTTGTCATAACTATGCACCAAGTTAGTTTATTTAAAATCCAAGAGCAGAGAAGATTTTCAAAGAACTAATGCAATTTTACTATATAATCAATAGAGCCCCGCCCTAACACCAGAACCCCTAACCCTGGGGCCATGAAATTCATAATTTCTAAAAAGGCAGCCATGTTCACCAGAACTATGTTCTTAAATACTTTATTTAATACCCAGGAGCAGAGAAGAAGATTTTCAAAGAATTAATGCATTTTCACTACACAATCAATAGAGCCCCGCCCTAACACCAGAACCCCTAACCCTGGGGCCATGAAATTCACAATTTTGGAAGAGGCACTCTTGCTCATCATAACTATGTACTTAGTTACTTTATTTAATACCCAGGAGCAGAGAAGAAGATTTTCAAAGAATTAATGCATTTTCACTACATAATCAATAGAGCCCCGCCCTAACACCAGAACCCCTGACCCTTGGAACATGAAATTCACAAGTTTGGAAGTGGCACTCTTGCTCATCATAACTATGTACTTATTTAGTTTATTTTATATCCAGGAGCAGAGAAGAAGATTTTCAAAGAATTAATGCATTTTCACTATATAATCAATAGAGCCCCAACCTAACACCAGAACCGCTGACCCTTGGGCCATGAAATTCACAATTTTGGAAGAGGCACTCTTGCTCATCATAACTATGTACTTAGTTACTTTATTTAATACCCAGGAGCAGAGAAGAAGATTTTCAAAGAATTAATGCATTTTCACTACACAATCAATAGAGCCCCGCCCTAACACCAGAACCCCTGACCCTTGGAACATGAAATTCACAAGTTTGGAAGTGGCATTCTTGCTCATCATAACTATGTACTTATTTAGTTTATTTTATATCCAGGAGCAGAGAAGAAGATTTTCAAAGAATTAATGCATTTTCACTATATAATCAATAGAGCTCCAACCTAACACCAGAACCGCTGACCCTTGGGCCATGAAATTCACAATTTTGGAAGAGGCACTCTTGCTCATCATAACTATGTACTTAGTTGGTTTATTTAATATCCAGGAGCAGGGGAGAAGATTTTCAAAGAAATAATGCACTTTCACTAGATGACCTATAAAGCCCCACCCTAGCACCAGAACCCCTGACCCTGGGGCCATGAATTTCACAATTTTGGTAGAGGGCTCAATGCTTATTACAATCATGCTAACAGTTTGACTGCTTGATGTCCAGGAATAAAGAAGAAGATTTTTAAAGATTGCATTAATTTTGGTGGTTTTAGCCCCACCCCTTAGGCCCCAGGGGGGCAGGGACCATGAAATTCAAAATTTTTGTTCCCCTTCACCCATAGAATGCTATATGCCAAATTTGGTTGAAATTGGTTGAGCGGTTTCAGAGAAGAAGCTAAAAATGTTCGAATGTTAACACACATTGCACGATGACAGACAAAAACGGATAGCTATAGGTCACCTGAGTGACTCAGGTGACTTAAAAATTGAGACCAGAAAAAATACACCCTGACAGTAATTAACAGTAAACATATCTACCCTGAAATACACGTAGGCTTCACATGTTAACAAACATACTACACACCATCCAGGATGTTGCACCATGCACACCTAAAAAAAAGTTCCATTTAATTAAGTGGGACAATTCTGCTAAAGATATGATATTCTTAGCTCATGAGTCCAAAATTAATACTGTAGGCCTAAAATAAGATGCCAAAAATGAAAAAATAAAAATAAATTGTCTCTCGTTATATATACAACTATAACTGACTAAGTTCATTTTGATTGGCTGTTTCCTTTGAACATACTCACGTCTTGTAATGAAATCTGTATTCATTTCTGAAAATATAAGTGCATAACATCAAAATCACTTTTCTTAAAGTTCTCCTCAGAAGAATATTATCTATGAGTGAAGGCAATGTTTATCATAAATTGAATGTTCTAGTAGTGTGCACATCTACATGCCTTACCATACAAGTTTGGTCTAGTTAGGAATTATAGTTTCTTGGGAATGTCCAAAAATAATCATCCTGAAAATAAATGTCTTATCATCCACTTAAGTCAGAAGCATCATCCATGCAACTTTTTGTACAGGTAGAGCTTATAGTTACTTGAAACTTTGGTACTTTGTAAAAGTTTTATGGGCAAGTTCATTCCCAAGTAACTATAAGCTCTATGCTTAAAGTTACTTGGGAATGAACTTGCCCATAAAACTTTTACTGGGATGTCAACACACTTATAAAGCAAAAGCTCATCTCGACTTTGTTGAGGTGAGCAAAAAATATTCAGTTTACTGCCTTTTGAACATTTGTTGTCACATTGTAGAATTGGTAGTGTTTTCTTTAAATATGATTAATTATTATGCTGAGGAGTGTCCAAGAAATGTAAAACAATGTATTCTCTGGGGGAAAAAGTGATTCTATCACACCATCTAAGTTTGTTGGTATGCCAGTCTAACCTACCAAATGAACCACTTGTAGAAATCTTTATGGATGAGGAATTAGTGTCTTATAGTCATCCTGCCTCCCAATGATGGCATCATCAGAATCTGTCTCCATTCACTGTAATTATGACAAACTATTGCATAATTTTAAGTTGAAAGGAAAGCAAATGATATTTATATGAAATAACAAGATGTGTTTGTGAAACATTGTTGTCCCCTATGGCAGTTCAAGACAAAGGTTTGGATTTTTCAAATTTAGGTTGAGGTCTACAAGGTTAAAGTGAAGAGTTCAAAAAGTGTTTGTATTCAAAGAAAGGTCTTGTCACAACAAATACCATCTTCTCTAGTCAAAGGTTTCTGATCTGCTACTCTCCTTACAAACCCTTGGCATATGGTGCTGTCAAAAGATGGGAAGTACAGCCTAAGCAAAAAGTCTGAATCAGATCTGTTCATCAATTTTTAAAATCTCTTATACAGATAAAATGCAGGAATGTTTTTGAACTCAGTCAAATTAGTTTATGAGCTAAAAGACATGTTCAGGACATACATGTATATCAAAACATACAAAAAAAGTGATTACAGTCTTTTGTCCCTTTTAAGTCTATTTGTTTTAAGGGGAGGGGATGGGTGGGTACTGAATAGCATCTTTTGATTTTATCAAATGACAACTATGTTAACCTATCTTTTCTCATCTTTGCTCCAGCCTTTTCTTTCTACTTGTTTTACCTGGAAAAATGCACAAAATTTTCATTTTAGGTGTTGTACTACATTTTAACATCTTAGAATTTTATGAAATGGGATCTTTTTTCACAGTTTTCATCAAAAGAGCAGATCTGAAAAAAAATAATGACCTTCTTAAGAGATATATGAACATGTATATGCCTATTATGAAAGCATTTCCATATTCTAAGAAAATAAACCACCAAATACATGTACTTGTTTTTAACAAAAAAAATACTGTATAAGTGGAAATCTTAGTGAGATGCCAATTTAGAAATTTACCCCCAAATTTTTAGCAAGAAGTAATTTAAGTGATTTTGTAATATCAAGAGAGAAAGCTATAACAGCCAAAATAGAATAAATTGTTAGCAATATTCAATTTTAGCAATCTCAGTTCCCACACTAAAAATGCCAAAATTGAATCCTCCCTAAAAATTCTGCTTCTATGGTAATTTGAATTCTCAGAAATTCAAATGATTTCTTGCAATGACAAAGAATTTAAAATAAGTATAGACGATTATAAAATACAATAAAAATCTTTGAGTATATCTGGTGCAGTTTTTTTGGGTTATCAAACACATTTTTAAAATTGTTCTTTCATTTGCAAAAATTCCAGTGAAGTAAAATATGAAACTAGGAACATTACTTCATCAACCAAACAATAATAAAAACAAAGGGGGAGTTTCGATAAGGCGGTTTTTCGGCCCCTCACGAAATTTTCAGAAATTTTTTATATTTTGTAGAAAAACTCCTTATCGTCCAAAAAATATGAAAATAATTTATGTGACGCATTTTCCAGTCACGTGATAATTGAAAATTTAAGTATACCCCCTTTCGTATATTTTTGGAGTAGACATTTTTATAGGGGGAAAGTGGATTTTTTAAATCGTCAAAATAATAAATGAAATAGGGTAAATATGAATAAAGACATAAATTAACCAATTTCAACAATTTTTTTTACGGAAAATGGTATTTACCTTACGCGAATGTTTTTTTTTTTAAGGTGCGATATTTTTCTGGTGTGTTAAATGTTACTTTTCTTTAAAAGAGGATGAATTGATCTTATAAAACGTAAACATATATAGAAAGTTTTAACATCATAATTAATCGACAGTTTATATGTAAACTTTACAATCAATATTTAACATTTTCCCATACGAAAAATGCAAATGAAAAGATATATGGACATGAGATAGGTAAATGTAAAAACGTCATATACAGGGATATGCAATACATTTTCATCAATGAGATTATACAACTATACATATTTTATAAAAATATACCTTAATATCATAAAATTGAAATGAAAGAGGCTGGGGGGTTGTGGCCATTTTTAGACTATATTGATCTCCTTTAGAAGAAGAGCTCCATATGAAGATATAGAAAATGATCAAATTTTAAAACTAAAATTTTTGAAATTTTTCTTTGCCAAATGATAGTTGACAGCTTAAGATATCATATCTAAAAATCAAAGTTAAATCTGGTGGTTAATTTGTGGTTAATTTGTTGACCCCCCAGCCTCCTTAAATAAAATGTTTTGAATTAAAAAGATTAAAAAATAAATGCAACTTTATATACATACATGAATAAGAAGTTTATTTAAAAGAATCATATTGCTATGTAAGCCGGTACGTTGTAGGTGCAAGGTAAGAAAAATATTTTATCTGGCAGCCACCACATAATTATTTGGTGGCCACTAGAAAAATATATCTGCCAAATAGCTTTCCTGCGGCCAAAACATAAATAACTGGCAGCGACCAGAAACTTATTTGGCGGCCAACACATAAATACATGTAACTAGAAGCAGGCAAGTAAGTTTCTTGCAGTGTAGACATGTAATCTTGCTAATAAGGCATGAAACTCCCAGATTTGACTACAAACAGAAGTTGTAGATGTCGTTAAAGGCAGAGATTTTAAGCACCGCCTTTAAAAATACCTGGTCTGTGTACCTCTGTCAATCAAGTGCATTAAGGTACATCATTGGGTGCTACAACTTGATAGGCAAACCACTAAATTTTTTCTGGCAGCCGCCAGACATTTCAATGGCAGGCCAGATAATATATTTTTTTTTTACCTAGCACCTACCGGCTTCAGTATATTGCAATGTATTTGATAATATGAATAATATTAATTACAGTCAAAAATATTTTATCATGATACGTAATATGTGAATAGCCAAATGATGGAAAAATCTATAATACATTGAGTGTTTCCTTTTCATTATGAAACTTAGAAGTATTTGCCTGCATTATGTTTTCAGCATAACTGAGAGAATCCCAGCCAGGACTAATTTCCTATCGCTTCCCCGCTCTCCATAGATACTTAAGTTGCTTCACCAACTCTAGTCACTCCTCATTTAGAGAGTTTTAGAATTCATTATAAATGATTTGCTAGACCAAAGCGCAGTTCGAAATACACATGTAAATGCCAAAGATATGTGTTTAATCCTTAATCAGGCAGACATATGCGCCTAGACATCCAGACTTAAAACAATCCACGTTCCCTATATGTCAATCACATGGAAATACATGGGCACTTCTGTAGCATGTTGGAGTGTGAATTTCTATACAAGAAAGTCAAAAATATTTGTATTTTTGACTTTCTTGTAACTATGCATGATAAATAACGTTAAGGAATGGACTTGCTTTAAAACTTTTTTGTTCAGTCAGTCAGAAAATGTAAGAAAGTTCCAGCATCTGAACCATGTCTGGTAGTGTGCAATCCTAGATGCATCATCAGTGCAAGTTTGGTTATGATAGGGCTTATAGTCACATAAGAATGAGACACACTTCAAAATCTTTAACCTGCTCTATCATTAAGGAAATGTAGGTCATATCCAGCATCTAAAGAAATCTAATAGTGTGCATCTGTAGATGCATCATGAAGCAAGTCTGATCAACAAGTGCTTACAGCTGCTCTGCTCCAAAAACTTAAACCTGCTTTTAAAACATTTACCTGGACATTCTTTGGCTAAAATCCAGCATTTGAAACCTTACTGGTGACAAGGAAACATGCTAGATCAGGTGACTGTGATTAATATAGGGCATAGATATACTTGAAAAAAAATCTGCTTCAAAAACTTTTACCTGGAACACCGATGCTGACGGTATTACAAAAGCTCCCCCAACTTCGAGGAGGTGAGCTAAAAATGTGACGTTAGCGTTAACATTATATGTTGGCGACAAAAATAGTATCAAAATGAAGACAGGATACGATAATGTTTTCTACTGTTAATACATGTATAATCGAGAATCTTCTTTAATTCAACAAAATATGCTACTTTTGGCTTAGTATTTTAACACAGAGTCAGATCAAGAAACCACGAGTTTCTACTTTTAGATATGCATGTTATGCAATTTTCAATTTTTGGATATGACGTGCACAGGCGACACTCATCATATTTCAAGAAATTAGTGTGCAGAGTATATCTAATTACTGAACAAATTTAGGTGAGTGTCCCTCATGCACTTCATATTATAAACATCGATTTATAAATGCCACCCTCTTATATTTTCCCATGAGCCTAATGTTAACGAATCTGAGTGTACATCTAAGTATGTATCAGCTACGGTGTTAATTCTTCTCATATTAACTTTTAAAATATAAATAACAAAAGTTAACATATTTATCTTGAATTCTAAACTAGTTTTGAAAAAATAAATTGAAATTTATTTTTAGGAAAAAGTGGGCCGCTGAGCGGCCTTATCGAAACTCCCCCTTTAACATCAAAATTTCAAACTCAGAATGTCTGGATCTAAACTGACTTGTTTTGTTCCAGCTTGACTGGGTTAGGTTTTAACTAGAGTGGGTTTGATTCTAAACTGACTTATTCATGTTCCTGTCTAACTGGATTAGATTTCTACCTGACTGGGTTAGGCTCTAAACTGACAGTTTTATGATTCTGCCTGACTGGGTTAGGTTCTGAACTGACTTGTTCATGTTTCTGCCTGACTAGGTTACATATTTTCCTGACTGGGATAGGTTCTAAACCAACTGTTTTATGTTTATATCTGACTGGGTAGGTTCTAAACTGACTGTTTCATGATTCTGCCCGACTGGGTTAGGTTCTAAACTGACTGTTTTATGTTTCTGCCTGACTGGGTTAGGTTCTAAACTGACAGTTTCGTGATTCTGCCTGACTGGGTTAGGTTCTTAACCGACTTGCTTATGTTCCTGCCTGACTGGGTTAATTTCTTAACTGACTTGTTCATATTACTGCCTGACTGGGTTATGTTTCTACCTGACTGGGTTAAGTTCTGAACCGACTGTTTTATGCTTCTGAATGAGTTATGTTTCTACCTGACAGGGTTGGGTTTTAAGCTGACTGTTTTCTGATTCTGTCTGACTGGGTAAGGTTCTAAACTGACTTGTTCATGTTCTTGCCTGACTGGGTTAGGTTTCCACTTGGCTGGGTTAAGTTTCTGCCTGACTGGGTTAGGTTCTAAACTGACTGTTTTATGATTCTGCCTGAGTGGGTTAGGTTCTAAACTGACTGTTTTATGTTTCTGCCTGAATGGGTTAGGTTCTAAACTGACAGTTTCGCGATTCTGCCTGACTGGGTTAGGTTCTTAACTGACTTGTTTATGTTCCTGCCTGACTGGGTTAAGTTCTGAACCGACTGTTTTATGTTTCTGACTGGGTTATGTTTCTACCTGACAGGGTTGGGTTTTAAGCTGACTGTTTTCTGATTCTGTCTGACTGGGTCAGGTTCTAAACTGACTTGTTCATGTTCTTGCCCGACTGGGTTAGGGTTCCAACTGGCTGGGTTAAGTTTCTTCCTGACTGGGTTAGGTTCTAAACTGATAGTTTTATGATTCTGCCTGAGTGGGTTAAGTTTCTACCTGACTTGTTTGGGTTCTAAGCTGGCTATTTCATGATTCTGCCTGACTGGGTTAGGTTTTGAACTAACTTGTTCATGTTCCTGTCTGACTGGGTTAGGTTTCTACCTGACTGGGTGGGTAAGGTTTTAAGCTTACTGTTTTACAACTCTATGTGACTGGGTTAGGTTCTTAACTGACTGTTTTATGATTCAGCCTGACTGGCTTGGTTTCTTAACTGAATTGTTCATGTTCCTGGCTGACCGGCTTAAGTTCTAAACTGATTTGTTCATATTACTGCCTGACTGGGTTATGTTTCTGGGTTAGGTTCTGAACTGAATATTTTATATTCCTGCCTGACTGGGTTAGGTTTCTACCTGACTGGGTTAGGTTCTGAACTCACAGTTTTATGTTCCTGTCTGACTGAATTAGGTTTCTTCCTGACTGGGTTAGATTTTAAGCTTACTGTTTCACAATTCTACCTGACTTTGTTAGGTTCTTAACTGACTTATGTTCCTGCCTATCTGGGTTAGGTTCTAAACTGACTGTTTTATGATTCAGTCTGACTGGCTTAGGTTCTTAACTGACTTGTTCATATTCTTGCCCGACTGGGTTAAGTTCTAAACTGACTTGTTCATATTACTGCCCGACTGGGTTATCTTTCTACCTGACTGGTTAAGTTCTGAACTGACTGTTTTATGTTTCTGACTGGGTTATGTTTCTGCCTGACTGGGTTGGGTTCTAAACTGACTTGTTCATCTTCCTGCCTGACTGGGTTAGGTTTCTACCTGACAGGGTTAGGTTCTACACTGACTGTTTTATGATTCTGCCTGACTGGATAAGGTTTTAAACTGACGGTTTTATGATCCTGCCACACTGAGTAAGGTTCTGAACTGACTGTTTCATGATTCTCCCTGACTGCATTAGGTTCTTATCTGACTTTTTCATGTTTCTCCCTGACTGGGTAAGGTTTTTTCCTGACTGGGATAGGTTATAAACTGACTGTTTTATGTTTTTACCTGACTGGGTTACGTTCTAAAATGACTGTTTCATGATTCTGCCTGACTGGGTTAGGTTCTGAACCGACTTGTTCATGTTCCTGCCTGACTGGGTTAGGTTTCTACTTGAATGGGTTAGGTTTTAAAGTGACTGCTTCATGATTTTGCCTGACTGGGTTGGGTTCTAAACTGACTTGTTCATGTTCCTGCTTGACTTGGTTATGTTTCTACCTGACAGGGTTAGGTTCTAAACTGACTGTTTTATGACTCTGCCCGACTAGGTTAGGTTCTAAACTGACTGTTTTATGATCTTGCCGCACTGAATAAGGTTCTGAACCGACTGTTTCATGATTCTGCCCAACTGGGTTAGTTTTAAACTGACTTGTTCATCTTCTTGCCCGAGTGGGATAGGCTTCCACCTGACTGGGTTAGGTTTCTGCCTGAATAGGTTAGGTTCTAAACTGACAGTTTTATGTTCCTGTTTGACTGGGTTAGGTTTTAAGCTTACTGTTTTACAATTCTACCTCACTGGGTTAGGTTCTTACCTAACTACTACCTAGTCCTTGTTGCACCAGGAGGCACATAGGGCAAGGATTAGGGATTAAGGGTTAGGTTCTTAACTGACTTATGTTCCTGCCTGACTAGGTTAGGTTCTAAACTGACTGTTTTATGATTCAGCCTGACTGGGTTAGGTTTTTAACTGACTTGTTCATGTTCCTGCCTGACTGGGTTAAGTTCTAAACTGACTTGTTCATATTACTGCCTGACTGGGTTATGTTTCTACCTGACTGGGTTAAGATCTGAACTGACTGTTTTATGTTTCTGACTGGATTATGTTTATACCTGACTGAGTTGGGTTTTAAGCTGACTTTTTCTGATTCTGCCTGACTGGATTAGGTTCTAAACTGACTTGTTCATGTTTCTGTCTGACCTGGTTATGTTTAATCCTGACTGGGTTAGGTTCTAAACTGCCAGATTTATGTTTCTACCTGACTGGTTTATTTTTCTACCTGACTGGGTTAGGTTCTTAACTGAATGTTATACAATTCTGCCTGACTGAGTTAGGTTCTAAATTGACTTGTTCATGTTTCTGTCTGACTGGGATAGGTTTCTTCCTGACTGGGTTGGGTTCAAAACTGATAGTTTTATGATTCTGCCCGACAGGGTAATATTTCTGCCTGACTGGGTTTGGTTCTAAACTGACAGTTTCATGATTCAGCCTGACTGGGTTAGGTTCTTACCTGACTTGTTCATGTCCCTGCCTGACTGGGTTAAGTTCTAAACTGTCTTGTACATATTACTGCCTGACTGGGTTATGTTTCTACCTAACTGGGTTAAGTTCTGAACTGACTGTTTCAGTTTCTGACAGGATTATGTTTCTACCTGACTGGGTTGGGTTTTAAACTGACTGTTTTCTGATTCTGTCTGACTGGATTAGGTTCTAAACAGACTTGTTCATGTTTCTGTCTGACTGGGTTATGTTTAATCCTGACTGGGTTAGGTTCTAAACTGCCAGTTTTATGTTTCTACCTGACTGGCTTAGGTTTCTACCTGACTGGGTAAGGTTTCTACCTGACTGGGTAAGGTTTCTACCTGACTGGGTTAGGTTCTTAACTGAATGTTACGCAATTCTGCCTAGGTTCTAAATTGACTTGTTCATGATTCTGAACTGACTGTTTTATGATTATACCTAACTGGGTTAGGATGTGAACTGACTGTTTTATGTCCCTGATTGACTGGGTTACATTCCTGACTGGGATAGGTTCTAAAATGAATGTTTTATGATACGCTCCGACTGCGTTAGGTTCTAAACTGACTAATTCATGTTTCTTACTGACTAGGTAATGTATCTTCCTGACTGGGTTAGGTTTTAAACTGAGTGTTTGATGTTTCTACCTGACTGGGTTAGGTTCTAATATGACTGTTTTATGTTCATGCCTGACTGAGTTAAGTTTCTATCCGACTGGGTTAGGTTCTTAACTAACAGTTTTATGATTCTGCCTGACTGGGTAATGTTCTAAACTGACTTATTCAATTTTTAGCCTGAGTGGGTTTTGTTTCTGCATTACTGATTTGGATCTGAACTGACTATTTCACGTTCCTGCTTAAATGGGTTAGGTTTCTGCCTGACTGGGTTAGGTTCTAAACTGACTGAAGGAAGTCACTTTAAGTCTGGGTAAGCTAGGTTCTAAACTGACTTTATCATGTCCTTCCCTGACTGGAATATATGTTGTTCTGAACAAGATTCCTAAATGACCACACTCAAGTTTTTGCTTATTCTTAATTATTTCCACTTGAAAGGGGGCATGATCCTTCATTTAAATCTTTACACAAGGATACTCTGTGCCAAATTTGGTTGAAATTAGTTTCAGAGAAGAAGAGGAAATTGTGAAAAGTTAACCAAAAAATCAATGATGTAAATGACTACATGCTACAATCTAATTGAAATTAAATCCTTTGATCAGCTCACATATGATCGCTACACAAAGTGTGTAGGGATCATATGTGAGCAGATCAAAGGATCTAATTTTAATTAGATTGCACATGCAATGGACAAATTTGGATCAAAAAAGCTCACCTGTGCCACTGTGCAAAAGGAGGAAGGGGTATTGATGCTGTGTATGTAGTTTATATATGTTCTATTTTTATTACATATTAAAATTATTTTCAACAATTACCTTGTTATTTTACCTGTCCAAAGAACATGACAAAAAAGATAACAGGGTGATTGGTAGAAATATAGGCATACAGGTGTCAAAACTCCCTTTTGGTGAACAGTCTGCATCACTCATTGTTTATCCACCATTAGTGATCTTTAACAGAGGAGACTATGTAGGTTTCACATGTTGACAGTCTACACACCATTGAGTAAACTACATCATTTCCAACTAAAAGAAATCTTTTTTATTCACAATAAATGGATTGAAATATGCTGCTCAAAATAACTTCAAAATATCAATAACTTCCTCATTCAATTTAAAATAAAATCTTATTGAAAATACCAGATCATAAGTTTAGTTTAAGTACACTTCATACTTTCTTGGACGTTAACAAACCTAGATGAAAATGGCAGATAGGCAAGTTCAATTGCTGGTGATCAGATACAAGAAGCTCAGGCAGGTCCAATTGCTGGTGACCAGATACACTTAGTGGTTTGGATTGTGCTGACCGGGATGTCGGCATGGGTGGATTAGAGCAGCTTACAAGCTATACAGGAGTCCAAGTTTGATTCCCTGTCAATCCTTTCCAGTTATAATATTAAATTAACATATGAAAAAGCATAGATATTAGCGAGTGCAGCGAGCAGCGCAAAGCGCCGCTCCTCACTGGGAGCTCTAAAAGCAATGCCTGGGCAAAGAGAAAATTCTGACTTTGCAAATTGATCCAAATGAATTTTTTTCCACAGTTACCTGTGGTCCCATATTGCTTTGCGAATTGCTTCTCCCCACAAACAACGTTCTCGCGGTAGCAAGAAATTCCAAAAAAAATATACACCCACGTTGATTTGATGGATATATAGCAGACAAATAGTAGATTAAAACTTCTTTATTAAAATAAGCCCTGTTCAGACTTTGTTTTGGTAATGCTACTTACAAGCGACATTATATGACGTCAGAGTCTAGACGTACTAAAAGTCTCGTGCAGTTTGATAACTTTGAAGAGCCCGATCTAAATTAAAACTGAATATAGGTATCTGCACTCACCCTTACGGTTGCACCGTCAACATATTAAAAATATACAAGACATTGTACGTTCGAAAATGACAAAATAATTCCCCTACTCTCGCACTGAAAGTCTTCAAACTTCTATACATTTATAATATATATATATACACACTTTTGAATAAATTCACTAAATTCTAAAGAAAATAAGGAGCTGTGTAAGAGTGTGGGGTGCTAACTTTATTGAAAAATGAGAGGGGTAGATGTTGATTATACTAGGCCTACGTTTTCTAGTGGGGTTTCTATCATAAACCATAAAAATACACCTCACCCTCCGGCCGCCAGTCCGCTTCTTTTTTCTTATACAATGCACATAACACAGCTCATCGATGTAGCATCAATGTTTCGGTGTATTTTTCTTTGTGACCTCTTCATTTCTACTTCCGTTTCATTTTCAGTTCTTGCTAATCATGCCAAACGTTATTTCTCCCGCCGCTAAACTAACTTCGGGATCGATGTACTCAGCTACATAATATAAAACTGAAACCATACCGGAATTAATTTTCCCGAACTGCTTGACTGGTTAAGTAATAGACTCTACCACTTGAAAAGGGGGGGGGGGTAACAAAATATTTGCACACTTACTCCTAGCGCTAAATTTACATCTAGTCAGACTTGGTGCAAATTAACTTTACTGCTAATGTTTTTCAGAAATAGAGAGGAGAAGAGGCATGGACAGTGTTCTTCTGAACAAGTGGAGTTAAAAACAATAAGAAAACCTACCAAAAAGTATTCTAGCAAAGCATTTTTAAGATTGCTTGGAAAATACCAAATTAATACTGATTTTACACACAGATTGTTAGTTCGTGTAAATGTATCGCAAAAATTACATTTACACCAGGAGTAGAAATTGCATATGTGTTAAACATTTTTAAAAAAAAAAAATAAACATTAGTATAAATGAGCGCATGTGAACGGGCTTATACACAGGGGCTGATCCTAGCAAAGCATTTTTAAGATTGCTTGGAAAATACCAAATTAATACTGATTTTACACACAGATTGTTAGTTCGTGTAAATGTATCGCAAAAATTACATTTACACCAGGAGTAGAAATTGCATATGTGTTAAACATTTTTTAAAAAAAAAAATAAACATTAGTATAAATGAGCGCATGTGAACGGGCTTATACACAGGGACTGATCCTCGTTTACATCAGTATATATAAGAAATGTTGTATATTCTGCACAATAAAATCAGTTTCGGTCTGGCACTCTATAGACCACATACTGTTTGAAAGTTCATTAGGTCGTGGACATTCTAATATTTATAATGGGCATGTAAAAAAAAAAAAAAAAAAAAAAAAAAAAAACAGGAGGGGGAGGTAGGCGAGCTTCCGATTTAACCAGAAAATTAAAAAAATATATTTACCATATGCTTAACGGAAATTCTTGACCAAGAAAGAAAAACACACGTAAAAACACCACCACCTCACTCACCCCCCAAAACTAAGGCGCATGCAAAACCGTAAATTAAATAGCTTTACCCAGACATTGGAAAAATGACCAAGATAAGTTCATTTGCGAAGCACTGATTTAAAACATTACTGTATACTAAATCATGATCTATATAAACAAAACATTATAAATAGTACCTTATGTTTATGTGGGAAAAAATGAAGATGTGAACCATTTCTTTTTTGCATGCAAAAATTATTCTAATGTAAGATGTACTCTTTTTAATCGCTTGTTCATTCTTGAACTGGTTACTATTGATATAAATCTATTATTATGTGGTGATGTTAATTTGCCGTTAAAGATAAATAACAGTATTTTTGCTGCTGTTCATAAATTTATTGACGAAACATGTAGATTCTCTATAGTTGATATGTTATATACATTAATTTTGTAATTGCTTTTTCACTTGTATAAATTGTATTTTTTTTTCTTTAATTTGTATGATATATTGTAATATATAAGGAGAGGAACTTACATGTAGTAAGTTGTATAGAACTTGTTTCCAATCATTTTGATGTACTCAAGCAAATATGTTCAAAACAGCACTGATTTTTTATTTTGAACAATACAATATATTTTATACACAACGTATTTAAGCCCCTTCCCTACATCAAGATCAAACTGGATACACAGGCAAAATACAGCATACAAGGAAGTCCACACCACAAATTCTAAGGTCAATGTCATATTTGGGTCATAATGTCATGTTCTAAATTTTGTAGTAAATACATAATTGTCATGTTCTAATTTTTGTATTTACTCCCATCCGGTAAATTCAAAATTTAGGACATGACAATAACACCATAATATGGTAAGTTGATACATTTCTCTACCGAATATAGAAAACGAAATTTTGATTGGACTTGCTGCACTTTATTTTATCCCTGTTGCACCCCTGCAAAATTAAACATTTTCTTAACTAATTTGCAAATAAAAAAGAGAAACGTGATAGGATTGTTGCGTTCGTTACAATTTAAATTTTATAAACATACAATCTAATGATCAATCTGAAAAAAATATCCAGTGAACAGTGGGTAAATCATTTCTCCAAACTTTTCAGCATTGATAAGAAATTCTGTGCCCAAAATCAATACTTTGTGTTTGAAAACTTACTTGCTTTATCAGAAAAAACACGAACATTTTCTGGATTAGACTACACAATTAAAGAAAAGGAAATCACTGATGCAGTAAAAAAGCTTAAGAACAATAAATCAGCTGGACTAGATAGCATTTAGAATGAAATGACAAAAACTAGCATACATCATATTTTACCACTCGTAATTTTTATAATCTGATCTTGTCTTCTGGAAGATATAAAAAAAATGGAAAACTGACCCATCAAATTACACGTGAATAACAATAACATCTTGTCTGTCTAACATATTTAATAACATATTGAATACAAGATTAAAAAACTTCTTGGATTCTAACAAGATTATCAATAAGGTTTAAATTGGCTTCCAACCAAAATTCAATAACAAGTGATCATATGTTTATATTAAGAACCCTTATTAAAAAATACACAAAATGATAAATCTAAATTGTATGTTTGTTTTGTTGATTTCTCTAAGGCTTTCGACACTGTTTTACACTCTGCTCTATTATATAAACTACAACAATTTAATAGAAATTCTCTGTAACCACTTAAACTTCTTGCCACGCATGGTCACCGATTTTGATGAAACTTTGCCCATTATTACAACTTGACACCAGAAACATATATCAAATAAAATTTCGTTGCTATGTGTCTTGGTTGCCATGGTAACAGCCAGAAAAGTTGAAAAAATTGAGATTTTCAGCCACTTTAAATCTTTATTAAGCCTTAATAAAGACTAAGAAAAACAAACAAACCATTCTCCCAAAAACATGACACTTTGTTGCCACTTATGCTATAAAGAAACTATTTAGAATTTATCTCTAAGTAAGTGGTAACCATGGGTACATTTGGAATACATTTTAGATGCTGAAAAATGCTGAAAATCGCTCTATAGCCACAAATGATAGATGTTACATGATCAAACTCAATCAACAACGTAAGAAAAACAATGAAAAATATTTGACCTCCTGTAATTAGGTATTGGCAATATTATTCTAAAAATAACTTTCATGGTTGCTATGGTAACACAGAGTCACCATGCAAAATATGTTGCTATGATTGGGTTAATGCTACTATCGTGAGGGAAAACAATAAAATTCATGACTGGCACATATGCATCCTTAGAGCCTTGCAACACCGACAACATAAGAAAAATTGAGATTAATTGTTACTTTGCTGTGTAACCATGGAAACAACGTACTAGACGTTTAGAGTGATATTTTTTTTGCTGCTTTAGGAATTAACCAACCTTTTCATCAAGAAAAATATCATTTGAATCACCTTGAATAGTACTTATCTCGTAGAACTAAAGTTGAATATCATATATTGATAAAGGTTGTTGAAAAATACAACACTGTTGCTATGGTAACCAAGAAGAGAAAATGTTCGATTTTGTTAATTTGTTGTCAATATTAGACCCTATGTGCCAGCTTTTTGCATCCAGTTAGAGATTGGGTGATAGTCAAAATTGAAAGTCAGGTTAGTTGTTCACATATATCAATCATTAAAGTTTTGGGAATCTACATACAACGGTACGTATCCAAGGAAACAGAGTATTTTTCAGATTTTTATGCATGTTTTTTCGCCTTATTTCCATAGCAACGCACTATTTAAAGAATTGAAATTGAATTTTTTGAAATGTGAAAATTAGGATCACACCAAGGCCTTTAAAAATTGATCATCAGTTATATAGAAATATGCTTTTTAAAAAGATAGGAAAAGATTAAAACACTAAGAGAGTAAATTTAAAATCCTTTCGTGGTATTAAAACCATGGCAACGATTGCCAACCCAGAAGAAATATCATATTTTGTCCTTGGTATATGTTACAAGGATCTCTTCTTTATTATTTGCTTGCATTTCAACCTATAATTGTTTTTATTCTTAAGTGTATGACTTTATAAAATTAAATGAACAAAATTATTACTTTTGAATACTTTGTTTCCATAGTAACGTAAGTTATAGATGATTTACCAAACATGTTTATCATGCATTTAAGACACCAGGCCTTCAACTTTCATAATCAGTCATTGCAACTTGTTTGCTTTGCTGCAAACGTTAACTGTGGGACTCTGAAGATGTTGAAAAATGCCATTTTTCAAACTTTAGGAAATGTTGCTATGGTGACCATGACACGTAGCAACCAATTTTTGCCTGATTTGAGTTAACGGTATCAAAGACTTTTATCATAGAGAGTTTGGAGAAATTCTGAGACTATGCGTGCCACAGCTCCTATATAAAAGTTCAAGTCATTACAGAGAATGGCTCTTAATATTCAAGGATGTTTCTATAGAATTATTAAAACATGTGCATGTATATGGAATTTTTTGTACATGTATCTATAAACCTTCATAATAAACTTACTAAATCATTTACACCAAAAGTAGGAGTCAGACAAGGGGATAATCTAAGTCCAAATCTATATTTAAACGATTCTAATCAATGATTTACCAACGATTTTTAATAACAGTGATGATCCTGTTAAATTGGGACCGTCTTCAATAAGTTGTTTATTGTAAGCTGATGACTTATTGTGAATTTCTAATAGTGAAGATGGTCTCCAGCAATGTATTGATAAATTGAATGATAACTGTGATAAATACTGCTTAACTGTCAATCTCAAGAAAAACAAAATTGTTATATTTTGTAAAAATGGTAAGAGAATAGCCAGAAGAATGTTCACTTATAAAAATCAAGTTAATTATTGAAGAAGCAACATCATACAAATACTTAAGAATTGTGTTCAGTTCATCAGGTTCATTCACAAATTGTCAATCTGATCTCTACAAGAGAGCCCTGAAAGCTTATTTCAAACTACTTTAAATTGTTTTCAATTGGTAACATGAAACCCAAAGTGCACACACTAATACATTTATTTGACCATACCATAAAACAATTTTTCTTTATGCATGTGAAATAATGGGGAACAATTAATACTGATGCTAATGTTGTCATTTTGTCTTAAAAACGTTTATAGTAAGATA